TCCAGCCCAGCGTTTCTCATGATGGACTCTACATATAAGTTAAATAAGCAGGGTGACAATATACAGCCTTGACGTACTCCTTTTCCTATTTGAAACCAGTCTGTTGTTCCATGTCCAGTTTGTTGCTTCCTGACCTGCATACAGGTTTCTCAAGATAAAGGTGTAGGAGTGTGATTTTGAACAAGTCACTCACCTGAAGAATAGAGACAGAATTGAAGAACAAGCCTAGAGACAAGGACACTTAGATGATTGCTTCAACAGAGGCCATGTTAGAGCCAAATGATGAATCCCTAAATTTGAACTATAGAGAATTACAGAGGATAAACTTGAAAGGTATTTGGGAATTTTATCAACGTTTCATATGTTAGTTAGGTTCACACTCAGTGTTTTTCAATGGCTAAAATCAGTAGATACAAGAGTGGCAGATTAGCTACATAAACTGCCTATGCTTTATTTCTAATTCCAATGCTCAGTAACTGTTGAGCTTAACTTTAAATGCTGATCTGTATTTCACTTGAATATAAAACTGCTCAAAATGTTCATTATTTTCAGTTTTTTGTGTCTGTGCTAATGTAACAGTATTCTGCTACAAACTTTTTTTTTTGCTACAAACTTAAAATGCAAAAAGACCAACCAAAGTTTTACTGGGGATGGGAATGACACTGTTAGTATCAGAATGCCTTCTGCAACTGTAGTGACTCCGCCAAATCCTGTAATCTGAGCCAGATTGCTGTCCACTCCAGAAGGATATTTCTCTTTCTGACCCAGAACATGAAGTAGAGGATCCAGAAGGAATCTTGAGACCCATAAGTGTCCAGCTGAAGGTGAAAGTTGTTTTGTAAAGAGTCATATTTAGTTTAACATGGTCATTTGTAATCCATTGAAACCACCAGTTTCTGATGGGCCATGGGTCTGATGTGTCTTTGACCCTGCCCCAGAACAGAGTAGATACTGTTCTCTTCGTACAGTTTCAGCTGATCACATAGGTTTACATGTTTGTTATTGCTATTGTTTTATCTTGTTTTGACTCAGTAGCTAAGGATAAGGTTATTATATTACAGTATAATAACGAGGAATCTGCTCACTCTACTCACCCCAGGTTACACACTGTCTGAATACTCTGTGTCTTCGTAATTTCCAAAGAACCAGTGTGACTCCAGTCAAGAAAAGATTAATTGTAAATTAGTGAAGAACTCCATAATTTTTTTTTCAAGAGATCTCATGGAAAATGCATTCTAATGAAGTCTTTTCCAGTACTCGTTTTTCCTACCTCTTCAATAAAGGATGCAATTTGAGCAGAAGCTGACTGTTCCTTTCATAAAAGCCAATCTGAGTTGACATGGGAACATGAAGTCAGTCTGGGGAATATAGGAAAGTAATGCTGAATGCCCACTTTATCACACACTGGAGGAGTTGGCCTGAGAGAAGGGGCTCCATCTGAAAGAAGGAGGCTCTAACTTTGGGAGCAGGCAAGATATCGATGTAGCAATAGCAAGGCACCGTTTCTATTCCTCACCCATGGGGGCTCAGGCGGTAAAGAATCTGCCTGCAGTGCAGGAGACATGGGTTCAATCCCTGGGTCGGGAAGATCCCCTGGAGATGGGAGAGGCAACCCACTCCAGTAGTCTTGCCTGGAGAATTCCATGGATAGAGGAGCCTGGCAGGTTACAGTCCATGGGGTCACAAAGAGTTGGACATGACTGAGCAAGTAACGCACTTACCAAACAGAAATAACAGTCCGTGGACCACAGAGCAGATACAAGGATTAATGACAATACATCACCAAAAAAGGATTTACAACAGCGCCTAGTTTATGGTAATCCCTCAGTAAATTATTAGTCATCATTTATTAGCTCTTATTATAACTGCAGTATGATGATGTTAGAGCTACGTGGAGTTCTTCCCATTTTCTAAGAATTGGTGATGAGAGTCCACATCTGAAAGCAGAAGATGTACTCAATATCCTAAGCCCAAAAGATCAATTGAGAACTTGCTAACAGGTGCTACTATGGGCAGAATTGCATCTCTCATAAAAGTGACGAAGAAGAAAGTGAAAGTGATAGTCGCTCAGTCGTGTCCGACTCTTTGTGACCCCATGGACTGCAGCCCACCAGGCTCCTCTGTCTGTGGAATTCTCCAGGTAAGAATACTATAGTGGGTAGCCATTCCCTTCTCCAGCAGATCTTCCTGGCCTAGGAATTGAACCCGGGTCTCCTGCATTTCAGGCAGATTCTTTACCATCTGATTCACCAGGGAAGTGAAGTGTATGATAGTCACTCTCTGTGTCCAACTCTCTGTGACCCCATGGACTGGGGCTCACCAGGCTCTTCTGTCCATGGGATTCTGCAGGCAAGAATGCTGGAGTGGACTGCCATTTCCTTCTCCAGGAGATCCACTAGGGAAGCCTCCAGAAAAGCTATGGTAGAGTCCTAATCCCCAGCACCTCATCACAGGACCTTATTTGAAAATAGGGTCTTTATGGAAGTAATCAAGTTCAAATGAGGTCATTAGGATGGGCCCTTGATAAAATATGACTGGTGTCCTTATAAAGAGGGGAAATTTGAACACTGAGATAGACATACACACGAAGGTTATGTGAAGACACACAGGGACGACATCATATGAAGACAAAGGTTGGAGTGAAGTATCTATGAGCTATGAAACAGCAATACCAAAGATGACCAGAAAACCAGCAGAAGTAAGAAAGAAGTCAGGCAGGGCCCTTCTTGCATAGGTTTCAAAAGGACATGAACCTGATTCACAGACCTAACACTCCAGGTGCCTAGGCAATACTGCTCTTCACAGCGTCGGACTTTACTTCCATCACCAGTCACGTCCACAACTGGGTGTTGTTTTCGCTTTGGCTCTCTCTCTCCATTCTTTCTGGAGTTATTTCTCCACTGATCTCCAGTAGCATATTGGGTACCTACTACCTATGAAGTTCATCTTTCAGTGTCCTATCTTTTTGCCTTTTCATACTGTTCATGGGGTTCTCAAGGCAAGAATACGGAAGTGGTTTGCCATTCCCTTCTCCAGTGGACCACATTCTGAGCCTGACAGATTAGAATGCAGTTGGGAGCTAACAGTTTTGCAGTATAAGAACTCAGTAAAAGAATGCTGTCTATAGGAGAATTATAGGTACAGGAGGGAGTTATGGTTTAATTCTCTTCCATCAACATGCTCTNGTTACAGGCTGTGGGACACATGTGATTAAGAAGACCCAGGTGTGAGATTAAAGGAAAAGAAAAGGAAGGAAAGTATTGCCTAGTTTATTCCCTCAATGTCCCTGACATGGGATGCTAGCCAATCCCCGGGACCAGAGAAGGTCTGACTCCCAAGGCCGAACTGGGTTGGGGTGGACACGCCTGGTAGGGTGCCCTGCATTGAGACCCCCTCTTAAACCTGAGCTGTCTCGTTTGCCTGTGGACCCCGACGGTGACACGACCATCTGGCCTCAAGGACCAGGGTCAAGTCACCAAGTATCCAGATCCTCCAGGGTGGTCCCCAACTGAAGCTTCTGTCCTAAGTGCAGCCTCCTAGGTTCCTCGGCAGGCAGGGGTGTCCCAGGCACACATAACTCTGGAGGGGAGGGGTGAGCCTGCAGGGGGAAGAAGTACATTCCACATTAATTCACGGCCCAGGAAGCTGACTTTCCCTAAGGCTCTGGTTACAGGTGGAGCCCGAGATGGGCATGAAGAAGTGCTGCCCCCCTGTGGACATTTCCAGTAACTACAACTTCAGCGCCTGTGCTTACTGGCACCTCCAAGTTACAAGGCCTGTGGGGCTGTTAATGACAGCTGCCCTCAGGAAAGGACCTGGGTGAATACTGCAGAAATCAACTGCAAACACAACCAACTTTGAAGAGGCCAACTGCAAGGTTAATTTTCCCCACACCCTTTAAAGTAAAGACAAAAAGAATGAAAATCCCTAAACGGCCAGAGAACAAGATGGTCTATACCCCTAAATAGGACAGGGTGAATACCAGTCAAAGCGACAAGAGATCAAATCTCACCTGTCAGAGCAGCCACAATCACGATTCTACAAACAATAAATGCAGGCAACAGCTCGGAGAAGAGTGAACCCCTCACGTGGTCATTGGAATGGACATTAGCAACAGTCGATAGAAAGCTAGTGTGTCCGCATGCCAGAAAATAAGATTTAAAGAGAGCACAGCCCATGATCTGCCATTCCCACACCTGGACCTATATCCCGAGAAAACCACCATTCAAAAACACACGTGCACCCCACATTCACTGCAGCACTGCTTCCAATAGCCAAGACAGAGAACCAGCAAGATATATCTGGACAGATTAAAAGTTAAGAAGATGTGGCACATATATACAATGGAGTATTACTCAGCCATGAAAAGTGACCACTGAAATTATGTCAGTAATAATCACAAGGATGAACCTTGGAGGAATATAGTCTAGGCAAACTCAGCCAGACCAAGAAAGAAAAAAGCATATGATATCATCCCTGTTAGGCAAAATAAGAAAAGAATAACAAAGGAACAAATTTACACCACAAAAGTGACTCTCAGAATTCAAACAGAAACAGAAGGTTCCAAGAAAATGTGAAAGAACAAGGATGAATTAAGAAGTCAGGGATAACATATACACGTAAATCTGTACCTGTAATAGACAATCCAGAAGGATTCTCTCGTTTCCTTTCTTCCTTCCAAATAGACTTAGAAATTTGTATTTCTAACGTATACAGAGAAATCTCTATCTGTAATGGATAATCCAAAATCATTATTTCCTTCCTTCCCATTACATATACACAGAAATCAGTATCTCTAACAGATTTTCCAGGAAGAACCTGATATTCAACACAGGGTACTTTGCTCAACCTTCTGCAATAACCTCTATGGGAAAATAATCCAAAACAGAACAGATAAGCTGTGTGTATTTGTCATTAGTGAGTCACGGGGCTGCACCCTGATAAGCTGCATGTACATGTCATTAGTGACTCACGTGACTGCCCTGATAAGCTGTGTGTACATGTCATTAGTGATTCACATGGCTGCACCCTGCTAAGCTGTACATGTGTCATTAGTGACTCACGTGACTGCCCTGATAAGCTGTGTGTACATGTCATTAGTGACTCACGTGGCTGCACCCTGCTAAGCTGTACATGTGTCATTAGTGACTCACGTGGCTGCACCCTGATAAGCTGGTGTATATGTCATCAGTGCTTCACGTGGCTATGCCCTGAAAACAAGCACAAAACTACACATTGACTACACTCCAACACAGCACAGGCAGGAGACTAGAGCAAAGGAACAGAAGAGCAGTGCCGAGCTTATTCCCTCCCAGCCCCTGACTTGGGCTGCTCCCTCACTTGGGAGCCTCAGCAGGCTGTGTCTCATGTCTGACTCGTCTGGGGTTGAGGCATCAGGGTTGAGACAACCAAAATTTTAATAGAGATGGGCAACCCTGCAATTTTGGCTCTACTATGTACAACAGCCAAGACAGAAAAACAAGTTAATTGTAGAAGCACGGGTGAAGGGACACACAGTGGGGCACACGTACACAATGGAATACATCTCAACCACAAAGAAGAAGGAATAAATGCCAAGTCCAGTGTCAGGAAAGCAAGTAGAGACGATCATTCCAAGTGAAGTAAGAGAGACAGGGAGAGACTAGTATTATATGATATCACTTCTAGGTGTAATCTAAAGATGGATACAAATGAATTTACTGCCCAAAGACACAGGCTCACAGACTTAGAAAAGAAACTTCTGGTCATCAAAATATAAAGATGTGGGGCAGGGAAAAAAGAGCTGCTTTAGACCAATTTATGCACACTACTACTGACAAAACAAGCGATCAGGACCCACCATGTAACAGAAGGAAACATACTTCACACCTTGCATTAAGCTATAAAGAAAAAACCCTGACAAATCATATATATATCTATGTAGAAGTGAAACAATTTGTCATAGAAGAAAAAGGAAAAAACAAAACACTCACAAGATTGTAATTCACCTGTATGCTCCAGTTCAAATGAAGGGATGAAAACAGATAAAATGGAAAGGATATCCCAATGCTCTTCCTCAGGGCATAGTGACTTGCAGTGTCACATCCCTGGAGCCCAGCTGGTTTGGGGGCCAAGGCTGGAATATCCTGGGCAGAGCGAGCTGGGAGCATGTGGCAGGTGGTGTGTCTCCTAAATGAACCTGGACTTCCTGCTTCCCTCTGGAGAGACCCCCGCCTCCAGATACAGGCAGAATAAATGAAGAGATTGGAAGTAACACACGCACATTTGTATCTATCAAATAGAGGATAAAATTATCTACTGA